TAAGGCGCACACCAGTCAGATTTGCTTCTCAAACCTCCTACACGGTGAGCAACAGTGGCACAAGAACGGATGAATAGGACTGAAGTAATAAATCAAGGGAAAGAGAAAACAAACACCGGAGTACGAGCATAAGTCAACCGTGATGGAGAATTAAGTCCAGAGAATCGGAAGTAAAATTTTAGCATCCGCTCAAATAATGACAAAGATGAACATGACTCATTGAACACACTATTCGAGTTAAAATGTTTCAAAGCAGTTTCCGAAAGATCGGTATCTTTTGATCTGGTTCATTCATGTCCTTTCCATGGTCTGTAAAATGTGTGTGTGTTGTTTTAATAACAAAGCTCGATAGACGATAAAAAAATGTTTGTGAGCACGATGTAATTTTGCCAGTGTTGGAACGATATCCGGGAATAGCAGATGGAAACTTCCTAAGGCATTTGCCCCTAGGTTAGAGTAGAAATTGAAAGTAGATATTGTCGTCCAGACATGTAGTGCCCGGTTAGTTTGATCACACTTGAATATGCAATCTGAAATAAGCGATAAATCAAAGGCGCGCCGGCGCACATACATACGGTGGAACGAGTAAGCACAGACACTCCAAAATACCAGTCAAGGTCATTCAGTCGTTCATAAAATTGTTGAACAAGTATGCCCTTTGTCGCACATACCAGCCACCAAAAGTCAGAGATACACACAAACACTGTGGAATGCAAAGTAATCAACACCCTTCACGACAAATTGCCGGGTGGTGATCGGCGTAGTGAAGTGTATCAGCCGGCTCAGGTTAGCGTCGCCTCACAACCTTAAGTGCATGAAACTATGAAGCCTAGATCCAGATTTGATCATCCATTGAGTTTAAGGAAAAATTCAATCATGAAGGCGTACGTCCGGTAATCGAGCACCGTTGGCACGGGAGTACATCTCCAAGGATATGTTTGTTATTAATTTAAGTAATCTGGTTGTGTTGGGGATTTTTTGGACACTAAATTACCTGCTAAAAACATCAATAAGCAGCATATTCCGTGAAACCAAAGCCCCCCACCGATGGCACATTACCACATGCAATTGACAGGAAAAGAATATCGGACAAATGACAGGTTGACTGGTGCAACAAGAATTCTCGTGTCAAAGTCTCCGTTCCCCCGGAACGACACCATCGACGCTCCTTTAGGATACACTTGTTTCCACTGAGATAGTGAGGCATATCAGCTAAAGAGATGATCCCAAGGGCCATAGAATCCACTTTAGCTGCCACTACACCACTACCATCAACACAAGTGCCGGCATCGATGCCCCACCGTCATAAAATTACAAAATTTATTCTTTGTCTTGAAGCAAAAAAAGACCAGAGTAGATGCTCAAGAGCCCTGGGGCTGACCAAATGCAGTCTAAGGTATCTACAGCTCCAAGAGCTCAACCAGGCAATCTGGAAACAAACTGGTGACACGAAAATCAATCAAATCCATTAGCTATCAGCCACAACCAAATAACTATTCCCCAGTTACCTAGTTACGAATTCCTTGAGGCCATCCGATACCAGCAACACTCCTGGGACATCGATAGTCAAAACCTGAAGACGCTTCACATCATCTGTCCACAGAGGCTGCCTCGTAACCATACAACATAGCCCCCATTTGTAGTCCGGTGTGCTGGTCTCCACCCTTCAAACAGTGGTTTAAGGCACATGGTCACGGTAGGATGGGACAGTTTATTCAACAGCACCTGCTCTTTGTATTCGTCCCCAAAAACGAGGAATACGTCGACAAGATTCTCATTAGTAACGACTTGATCACCAGGGTTTAGAAGATCTTGCACCGTTTGTCTCAGTATTTCACCGATGACGATTATAAACGAGAATGAGAAGAGTAGATATTCTTGTCGCACACCACTTTTTGTAGGAAAGCACACATTCACAAGCCCTGAAGCATATGAATATGGAGACCGGATTATGTTCAAAAACTTTTCCGGGGTCCCCAGTTGGTTAACATCACTGACCGATCGACAGAACGAACACACCCTTGAAGTTAAGGAACGCCAACTTTGTGGATCGTCCGTATATATGGCGTTGTTATAACACCTGACAGAGTGTGGTGTGGTTGACACAGCATCTAACAGATCGAAACCTTGCTTGTTGCCCACGGATCAAATGTTAACGTTTCACCACCGGGTGACGAAACTGATGCCAGAAGCCACGCTACAACCGGCGTCAAACGACACCATTATGGTTACTACATTCACTGAGTATCCTCTTTAAATATGCGCAGTATTTTCGGCTCAGTTGAACTGTCCGAAACGGTTTCTTTCTCCAGGACATTCGCAACTATGCAAGATAAGCAGACTGAGGAACAGCGCAGAGAGAAGGTTGTGGGGACCAGGATCACGATGACAATTGAGTAGGGAATACACTCTGACATGTCTGAGGTGGAAAAGTTCTTCATATTCGCAGTCCACATTTCTGTCAAAGGCCGACAGTCTGGATTCGAAATAGCAGCTGACTAGCTGAAGCGCCATCCGAAGTATTCTGCTGGATACTAGACAGCTACTGTGGTCCTTGATGACTTTACTGACAACAGGCTTCCGAGGACCTATCGACTGGACCAAGCAGAGCAATCTGTGGACAATTCCAGTATTTTAGCTCCTTCTGTTCTTTCGTTCTTTGGGATCCACCAAGTTTCATGCTCTGTGAGGAAGTGCATTTCTACCTGGAGTCGGACCTCCATCTAGGCCACATTCTCGTCAGGGATCCAGGCTAGGAGGAGACCGGACGGGTTATACCGCAGGTAGAAGTCCCGGCACCACGTACAGCTGTGGACCTCTCGCTCCAGTACATGTTGATATCCGATAACGTATCAATAGGCAACTGCTGGCGAAGTGGTTCTGACACATTCAATTTCGGGGTTCATTGATTTCCCAGTGGCTAAGCTTGGTGTGGGCGTTTGGTGCACACATGAAAAGCACAATGAAAAGCAGCGATGGACAAGCGCATGATCGGAGTCCACGCAGGTATTCCAGAAAAATCGGCAGGCAGTGAGCAACCATCACCAACGGTAACTCACAGAAAAGCTGTTTCTTGGTGAGCACCACTACTTCCGCTGTTCCAGAAATCGACACGACGAGGGAGAGGTTTGTGATCACCCCACATCCGCAGTAGGCGCGCTTCATTGTCCGTGCACCTCGTGTCTAACCCAAATAAGTCTCAGCAGTGCTAAGCCACCAGCGACCACGACATCTGAGCTCTTGGCCTGTTGTAAAAAATGCAGATCCAGAAATATAATCCGTCGGGGGATACACCGATACACTGAACTGTGGTTGATCAAGTGAACAGTGAGTGGAGGATCCCCTTTCCTCGAGATCCTTTTTCAGTCGTTGCCAAACGACCCGCGCAGTTCAATCACAGTACTTGAGTCCTGGGTTTTTATTTCTGTCAGACAGCACGCGTCAATACACAAGATATTCGACGTGCCAACAAGAGCGGCTTGTTGTAGTGCTTGCTGCAGTGTGCGCACATTAAACGGATTTCGAGGTGTTCACCCTTGTTGCTGATGACGAATGCGCAGAAACTGCAGATGAGCGAAAGACCATCGCTACCCGAATGTACGGTTAGGAATCGTAATGCATCAATCTAACATACAGCCAAATGTTGTTAGAAGTCCAGTGTTGAGGTAGAGGTGTCTGATTTATCATAAAAGGTGAAGAAATCATCACCAACCTCGAACAATCACACAAGTCCGGTGGCAACTATTGTCTCATAGATCTGTACAACTCAGTGGTAATGAAACTACCCGATCGAATTTTAGGCTTCTGCCTTTTTATTTACTTAGCTTTCTCCGCAGCACCTAAGCTCCGAGTACATTGACGAGACCGCCTAGTTCTGTTTATTGTGTACAAGTGAAAAAAAAAAGCTCCGAGTCATTGACGAGACCGCCTAGTTCTGTTTATTGTGTACAAGTGAAAAAAAAGGAAAATCACTGACAGCCCCGAATATCAAAAAACCAATGAACTGCTTCAATTTGACCTTTTGATTTTGCTTAAATCTGTGGTTGATGGAAAGAGGGAAAGTGCGCAAATGAAAAAATAGTCCCACAAGATCCACTGGCTTCGTGCGATGTCAAACATCAACACCAACCATGAATCGACCTTCGCTTGATGGTATTTTGATGCGCACCGGTCGAGGACACTTATACGTGCTCTAATGAATAGAACCAGAAGGAAATTCAGGGGATATGTTGAACCGTATAAAACTGTATTATCTAGTCCAAAGAGTAAAGTAAAATCCTCAGACTTCCCGAAAAGACACCCAGAGAAACAAAAAAAAGCAGCCGATGCATAGTGAGATACTCCCAGAAAATAGTTAGTTCCGAAGATATGCCTTTACACTGTCGGTGGGATTTGGCTAGTATGTTAAAAGATAGGCATCAAGCAAATAACACAATATAGGTCCCATCCCTAGGTCCTTTATGAATGTGCCCAATATTTGGTGAATAGGTCGAACATCTGAGTCGGAATACGCACAAAACTAAGAAAAGATAACAGTATAGTAGACTGAAAACCCTTACGGAAAGCATCCAACCGGTAGGTGACTTACACATGTTTGGAGAGTTGGTCAATACGCCGTCTCAGGCCTTGAGTGAGGTCCTCAACGGAAGACTCACCAGCCACTGGAAGTACGTCTAGCAGGGCTGAGAGCTCACTGACAAGACGATCACGGATACCATTAGACGTGGCCAATGCTCTGAGTAACTCTTCCTGTTTCTTGCACGCGTCACTCAGCTCTCCACGCAGCACCTCCAAGTTGGCTTCAAGCTGTTGTTGTTTGTCTTCGGACTAGGTTAGAAACAGAGGGTCAATATTTTGTTACTCAAGAAAGGCAATTGGTTGGGTAGAAAGCGAATAACCTATGAATTGGAGTGTATCCAATTCATCCGTCGCAAAACCATCATTTTTTGAGGGTCTCAATGTCCGTTAACATATCCGACGGTATTGTGTGGTGGCATAAGTGTTCGTGGGAAAAGAGACCAACTAAACACAGCTATCGAGTAGGAATTCGGTGTCGTCCTTCATTCCAAGGTGACGCCAGCAGTCTTTTGAAAAACGACAAATGAAACTTTAGGTAAGAAAAAATGTATCTGATAATCGGAGATACATAGAACGCTGTTCTATCGTCTCAGTATTTTTGCACAAAAGGGCGCCAAAATAAGCAAGGACACGATTTCGTAGTTCTGTCAGTTGAGACTTAAGGAAACATGTACGGTTGAAGACAAAGAAACAGGAATCTTCCGAGACAGCTAGAGCAGCAATCACAAACAGCTGCTTTCGGGAATAACTTTTGATTGCCACCTGTGCGCCAAACCGATTTGACTGACCGAGGATTAGAGTATGCTAATCAGACACTAATCAGAAATGCGACAGTTGCGCAGCCTACACATCGTGTGCATTTGTGAATTTTCGTCAAATAATTAGCACGATAGTCTGACGAAGAATGGAACCAAAGACATTTTTGAAATACAGATGCTACCCTCGGTAGACAGAAAAAGATGCCACTTAGTGGGGGCAAAGCGGTCTAGTTGGGGCCATTCATAATCCATTCATCGACCAAACTTACACAGCAATCCAATAAAAGAACCAACGGATTAAGCCATAATTATCAAGAATGATCTGCGAGACCACAGGTATCACGATCTTAGCGTAAACTAAAAGGATAGAGCATGATGCAGAGAAGAAGGTCGCATACCGCGACTTCAGTCCGAAAATTTCGCAATTCATGGTTGTATTAGCATCACTGCGTACCGTAAGACGTGAATATCGTAGACTAGACCTGATAGCTTCACATTTTGCCATTAACCGCAAATTGCGGACGGCAGATTGAGGCATTTGGAGTATCAACCAAGTGACAACAGTGAATAGTATGCCAGCAAGTCTTGTTATTAGTAGTACACGGGCGGGTATGAATAGCCAGAGTTAACCCACGTGGTCACCTATCCCGAAGACATGAATTCCAACCATGCTTGAAAACTTGACCGTGTTGTTACTCATCGCAGCAGCTCCATTAATTACCTTTCTCAGACTAATTCATGTTCGGTACAGTCCTTTTCAAAGTCCTGCTCACCACACGTAGCCATAGGTGTACGACTACTCTTCGTTGTTGTACTCTATTGATGAGAGTATTAGGTAACATCGAAAAAGAAGGATTCACTCGTGTATCTGTGTCAGGAAGTTTCATAAGGTCATTCACGATCAACACATGTACACTAACCACAAGTCCTTGCTATCAACTTTCAGCACCAAAGCAGGTACTCCTTCACACACGGTTAATTGGTACAAGGATGGGCTATAACACCATTGGCACACAACTCCGAACCAAGGTTCAAAAGAACGTCAAGTTTGGAACAAGCAGACGAGGTGTCGAGATTGATAGCAAAATTCATAGCCAAAACAACAAATCAGAATTTTGTCTTCTCCTATTACTACACGTATGTGTGCGTTAACTTCCAATTACTGTAAGTCGAAACAGCTAAAGATCCGGGATCGCGTCATATTATCAAGTATCACAAGTGGCCTATATATTTCACTGACAGTTTACTGAAAAGTTCAGTACGAAAGATCTAAACTAATGAATACTGACGACCGTATAGTGATACGTGACCGGGTGGTTGCACCTAAAACAATGCAAAACTATCAGGAAGGTC